AGAAAATGTGCAAGTAAGCCAATTTTTCTATAAATTTCTTAACAATTTTCCCACCTTCAAACCTTAAATTAAAAAAAAAAACATCCCTCCTTCTGTTCTCTTCGAAACTAAGAACACTGCCCTGGAAACATTTAATTCCATCGCAAAGAGCACTTCTTAAGTACCAAAGATGTCACCGAACACAGGGCTTAACGGTCTTAGTGCGAACATCTCGACAAGAGAATGATCTTGTCGAGTATATTGCGAGCAAAGATTATGAGAAATCCCTAAAATTATTTTCTTATTTCAACTTTACCGTAATCTTCTCGAGGGCCATGCCAGGACGTCTATCAAAGCTGTAAACGATGGCGAGAAGAAGATAGATGCTCATGGACAAGACCAATTTCGCCATTTTTCACAGATAATTGTGCATTTTCCTGCGGATTCTGTAGGAGCAATGGGCAAAGTGGGTTTTTTGCTGATACTTTCCTTATTCGATAATACTGAAGCTGAAATAAAATTCTCATTAAATTATATCATCAGACTGGATGATTTTGATTAGGCAGAAAGCGTTCTAGTAACCTTACAAGCAAGAAAAAATAACATTAACCAAGAAAAATCAGATCAAACTTGTAAAAAGGTTCACAAATTATTTCTCAGCTTCTTATCCCAGTATACGAAAAACCAAGTATTTGGTTGTTTGAATTGTTGAATTCTCAAGAAATACGTTTGATTGACTCGAATAGCCGAGTACTTAAAAAACGCATCCATTCGATTATTTGAATACTCGAGAACGAAAAAACATAACAAACTGTAAAGATTTCAGGTTGAATTTTGAAAAATAGATTGAACATTGGGTCAAAGTTCCAAGCCTTAAAGATCTAAGTTTTTGTATGCATTTGAGATATGGTTGTTCCAGGCAATCTATGTTTTTGAGATGGAGAGTTTAAATATAATTTATAAAATTCTCATTGAAACCACTCGAAGTGAGAATTTCCACATTGTGTTATTCTAAGGACGTGAGATGGGCGATCTGAGGCAAGGGATGGAAATTATCGATAATTTGTTAAAAATAATTGAAAATATAGTG